AAAAAAGGGTTCCCAGGATGAGATAGATCTTTGAGAATGTTTTGAACTTTCTTAAGGCAACGGAAGCTATAAAGCTCTTCCAAAGAGGGGAGAGGGCAACCAATGATCTTCTGGGCAATGACATTAACCTTCCGGACTGCTTTCCTATCTGCCACTGTGCAATTGGCAAACTATACAGAGGTGCAGTATGTTAAAATGCTCTCTATGGTGCAGCAGTGGAAGGTCACCAGCAGTTTTTCATTCAGTTGTTGTTTTCTGAGAAGTCTCAGGTAGTATAATCTCTGCTGGGCCCTTTTGACCAGGGCTGCAATGTGGGCACCTCAGGTCAGGTCTTCTTTTAGGGTAACACCCAGAAACTTAAAACTGGCCACTTGCTCCACTCGGTCTCCATTGATAAGCAAGGGCTGGATGTCTGATCTGTTCCTTCTATAATCCACTATAAGTTCCTTGGTCTTATTGGTGTTGAGGACCAAGTTACTGTCTCCACACCACAAAAGCAACCGGTCTACCTCATCTCGGTAGGCAGACTCATCCCCCCTGGAGATAAGTCCCACCACTGTTGTATCATCTGCAAATTTAGCAATAGTATTACTAGCATGAGTGGGAATGCAGTCATGCACATAAAGAGTATAGAGTAAGGGACTCAACACGCAACCCTGTGGTATACCAGTGTTAAGAATAAGGGCTGAAGAGGTATGATTACCTAATCTGACCCTCTGTGAGCAGCCAGACAGGAAATCCATAATCCAAAGGCAGATTGAATTAGAAAGCCCAAGGTCCAGAAGTCCACTACTCTTTATTTTTCTGATCTGAGTAAGGGTCTACTGTTTTATTGAAATGCTTTTTCACAGCATCTACTTGAATAATAACCATAATATTTAAAATGTACACCCCTCAGTGCTGTGGTTCCCAATCTGTGCACTGAGATGCCTTGGAGAACCATAACAAGATATTTTTACTAAACAGAACTGTCTAATTGTTCTGGGGTACTCACACTGCACAGTTTGGGAACTGCTAGAGCAGATGTGTCAAACTCGTGTCATCATGGTGGTGTCATATGACATATCAGGACTTTTTTCCCCTTCACGAAACTGGGCGGGGGCGTGGCCAGCGCATGACACATCCAGACCTAATTTGACAGCCCTGTGCTAGAGGTTCCATGAAATAAGTTTGGAAATCTAATACAATTTATACTATTCATGACAAATACATAAATACTCCCTACATTAGTTGTTTGGAGTCTTCCTATTGTATTACAATTCCTAATTCAATTTTTTTCAACTGTATTTTATCACAGCAAAGTAATAACTTTAAGGATTAGAGTTCTAGTGCAGTTAGTCATACTGAAAAAAAATGTACTAGGAAACACATACTAACCTTTTTAGGTTTATGCTTATCTACCAACTGCTTAATAAAATGGTAACGTTGCTTATACAATGGTGGTGTAAATGTAATAATCTTCACAAGGTCATCTTTTTTCATTGTTATATCCATATTCAAAACTAAGAACAAAAAATATTACTATTTAAATTCTATACAGGTAGTCTCCAAATTGTAAGTTCGTTTAGTGACAGTTAACAATGGCCGTGAAAAAAGTGACTTGACTGTTTTTCACACCTACGACCATTGAGCATCCCCATGGTCATGTGCATCCCCATGGTCATGTGATCAAAATTCAGATGCTTGGCAACTGAGTCGTGTTTATGATGGTTGCAGCAACCCAGGGTATTGTGATCACCTTTTATGACCTTCTGACAAGCAAAGTCAATGGGGAAGCCAGATTCACATAACAGTCGTATTACTAACTTAACTGCAGGGATTTATTTAACAATTATGACAAGAAAGGTCATATAATGGGGCAAAATTCACTTAACAAATGTCTTAACTCAGCAACATAAATTTTGGGTTCAATTTTCGTCATTAGTTGAGGACTGCCTGTAGTCTCAGAAATTCCTGTGCAAATTGAGATCCAAGTATATTTCATGGCTATATAAATTACCTGCATACATATATACAAATACGGGAATCTGCTTTCTTTTGATTGTCATTATGGTTATCTAAATTTCTTTCACATTCCTTTTTCCTATGGAATTAACCTTCAACTCTTGATATAAATCAGGTTTGAGCTTATTTATATATGTCATAAAATAAATCAATTGACACTGAACTTCTTTGGAGGTTTTTAACAAGATGGGATCACTGATTTTCATTTTCTGTATCTAGCTAGGCCTTTTTTTCTCACACAGAACAAAAGAAAGCCTTCCTCTTCATTGTATCCTCCTTAAAACAATTGTGAATCAAAATAAAGACAAAGCAAGCCTGGGTTTTGGACACTTTTCCTTTTTTAATTACTTTATTAATGATCTGCTATATGAACTAAGTGAACTGTATTTCTTTCCTCCCTCTATATGAGAAAATATTTTACTTTAGCCTTATGCAGATGATATGGTTTTGTTTACTTAAGCTGAAATAGTCGATTATAGAATAGCAGATAATTATGATAAATCTAAAGTGACTATGTTTAAAGATGAAATGCTATACAATAATATAGCCAAAATAAAATTGAACAAAATTCCTATCACTATCTTGGAATGTTCAGTGTTTAGGTCAGTTGTATTCTAATGTAAAAGCACTAAACCTAAAGATTTTGGATTTTTGATCTCAAAGGCAGGAGTGGTGTCCCCTGCAACAGAACCTGGGACTTATATACAGTCTCTGTTGTGGCTTCTGCCGCTCCCAAGGCATCCTTGAATTTCTTCACTGAGACACCTTCCACTTAATGACTTGCAAGTTTAGAGTTAATAATCTGGAGTGTTATATTTTTCAGTATCTTTTTGTTATTTCCTCATTCTCTGTAAGTAACTCTTGATTCTAAAATGTGGCATGGTTACAATAGATTTATCCTTTCATCTCTGTAGGCTAATCTCCAGACCTATCTCATCTACTTGCCACCTAGGTCTCCTCTTTTTTCTATTTTATATCTCCTTCTATTTCCCCCCACCCCTTATCAAAGAAATGAATTCATCCAAGTTGTGCAACCATTCCCCCTTTCTCACACATTGGGATTTTATCTATAATCACAAGGAAGACGTGAATGTGACTATCTTTTTCTAATCTGAACTGTTAAGCACAAACCATTTACATTTGATCCAGTCCAAGGCAACTGGATCCATTTTATATCACTGTCTCAATAATCAATTTCTCCTCTTAATGGCTATAAATACCAATCTACTGTGTGGTCAAGTGCTGCAAATTTTCTAGTTTTTTCCAATTATTTCTACAGACGGAAACTAATCAAGGAGAGAAGCAACCTAGAACTAAGGATAAATTTCCTAACAGGGAGAACAATTAATTGGAAGAAGGGCTTGCCTTCAGAAGTAGTGGATGCTCCAACATTTAAGGTTTTTAAGAAGAGACTGGACATTTGCTTGAAATTGTATATAAGGACTCCTGCTTGAGCAGGGGGGCTGGAATAGATGCCCCCCCAAGATCCCTTCCAACTCTGCTATTCTATGTTCTATGAGATTTTAACATGAGTGGTAGGTCAAAAAGAAAAAGTAGCAAATGCAAAGGTTGAAGAGATTTTAGTGCTTCAGTAACCTGTTGAATCACAAGTGACAAGGCACACCATGAGCCCGATTCCAGGTATCTTTTATCATTCTACTCCAGGGGTCCCCAAAGTTGGCAACTTTAAGACTTGAGGACCTAGAAAAGTCCACAAGTCTTAAAAGTTGCCAAGTTTGGGGACCTCTGTTCTAGTCCCAAAGGTACTTTTTTTAAGAGGCAGCTGGACTTTTGTTTTTTCTTTGAAGACGATTCGCTTCTCATCCAAGCTCTGAGCCGAAGAAGCTTCTTGGATGAGAAGCGAAACGCCTTCAAAGAAAAACCAGAAAGTCCAGTTGCCTCTTGAAAAAAGCATTTTTGGGACAATCCTGACCTGAATAACTGAGAATCTCCATAGACTTTTATCATTCTAGTTTTCAAAACCTGTATGCCTTTTTTTTTTTAAGGAATCTTTTTATATCATTTTTTTAAAAAACCTTGGTCAAATGCGTTTAAGACCTTACTAAAAGCGCTCAAATAAATACCCGCGTTTGCACACACCACTTAAGCCTTGCACTACAATTTAACAGTTCACAATTGCGGTGTTGGAAGTGCTTGACAAGACAGAAGAACATCGATAGTCCGAGCTGAGTTTACAACAACGCCCTCGGCTACCATACGGTCAGCCTCATTGCAAGTCCGCGTGTCCTGCAAGCACAGCCACAGGATACGTAGCCTTCTTCTCAATTAATCCAATGGCATTCTATTATTACGACGCGAAACGCCAGGCTTTGCAATATGCAGGCGGTTGGGCCCACCTCACCCTACGAAACAGCCTAAGCACACTTCAGCCTCGCGCGCTCTCCGAGCCCAACCGAAGGGACACCGCGTGCTGCTGCTCCTCCTCCTCGGGTTTTCCGAGCCGCCCTCGGAGTCGGCCCAACCACCTCCTCTTCATAGCCCCCCCTCCCACGGGCTGTGATTGGCCGCCTCAGTCCCGGAAGGATTTTTTTTTTCTTGCTCATTTCCGCGGGAGCCGCCATCTTGTCGGCGGTTGGCGGAGTCGCTCTGCGTTCAAGCTGGAAGGCTTCAGCCCGCCTTACTCGAGCGGCCTAGTCGCCCGCTCCTTTGGCGCCAGCGATTTGTTTTTCGCTGGGGCCGCTATGGCCAATAACTGCCCTTTCGTGGGGCCCGGCAACTGCCATCCGCTGCCGCCTCACCAGTCGCCGCAACAGCAGCAGCAGCACCAGGGGATCCTGCAACAGCAGCAGAATCCGCAGGCCGGCGCCGTTTTGTCGCCCCCGTTAGCGCTCCAGAGCGCGGGCCCCAAACCGGCCGCCTCGGGCAAGCAAGGCAACGCTCTGCCTCTGTGGGGGAACGAAAAGACCATGAACCTAAACCCCATGATCCTCACCAACATCCTCTCCTCCCCTTACTTCAAGGTACAGCTTTACGAGCTGAAGACCTACCACGAGGTGGTCGACGAGATCTTTTTCAAGGTGAGCGGGCGACGCGGGATAGGAAATGGGTCACTTGGGGAACGGGACGAAGCTAGAGGGATCCTCGAAACGAGCCTGTCTCTGGAGGCCCAACGTTGTGGCCTCCGGCCTTGGAGTTGGGTGGGCCTCCCTTCCCATTTCCTTCTGAAAGAAAGAGGCTAGAAAAGGGACTGCTCTTCCTCTCCTTCCTACCTCGAAATCAGCGAAGGGGGCCTTAACGCCGGTGTGTTTATGCAAAAGGGGCAGCCAAACCTACAAGACGGAGTTGTAAACCTCTCGACCTATTTCCTGACCCCAATTGTGTTTGTATTATTTCGGAGTGGGAGGGTGTCGGAAGAACAGATCCCCCATTTCTGTGTTGGAACCTATCCTTTTGGAAATGTTCTGGAATGGAATGAAGATAAGGTTAATAACCGTTTTTCCGCTCCATGCTGCTTCCACACCTCTAAAAGTGAGAGTGAATTTTACTTTTTCCTCCCAGAAACGCAGGGTAGCGAATATTAGAATCTAATTTTACAACAGTTGTGAGAAGTAGTTCCCCTGAGGAGTATGACCACATCAAGCTGTATGATAAGTTTAATGGATGAATGAGTTCTTGGTTTAAAACTCTGCTTTTACCAGATGACCCGACATATCATTGTGATTGACTCTTGTTTCATTTTTGTAACTGCTTATGGGGGGCGGGGAGCACTAATGAACTTCGTGAGACTTGATTTTATTTACATATGGATAAGATTACACTAGTAATTTTAGCATAGATACTACCATTCTATGTTATGATGGCTAACTGGACACTGCATCTGCCTGACTTTTTACTGGCCTTGAAAAGCAAAACACGGACATGATTAAAATTTAGATAAATAGTTACTAGGAAAACAAACAATACTAAGCTATAAAATTTGGATTATATATCATGGAGATGCTGCAACGGTCATAACTGTTAAAAATGATCATAAGTTACTTTTTTCAGTGCACAACTTTCAATAGTCGCTAAATGAACAGTGTAAGTCAAGGACTACCTGTACAATGCTAAATTAGATTTGCACCCTTGAGAAGACATTCAAAGATTGATTTGCTAGTTTGTTGTTTCCCTGTAATCTAATCTGAAAAAATCTGATTGGTGCAAAAGGTATTCTGAACTTTGAATTAGGTAAGTCTTTCCATTTTCTATTTTCTGAATGCTTATCCCCTACCTTCAGAATGTGAAAAGTCAGAATTACTGTATTAGCATTACACAGGAGGAATTGCTTCTTAGCATTTTCTATTAAATTTCAGTTGTTTTAACTGAATATCCTGAATGCATGTCAGTACGCCCTGTTTATATTTTTAAGTTGCAGATAACACATGGGATACCAAAGTAATCTCTATATTGGAGATCCTAGCTTCTATAGAATTATCTAAACCTATTCCATACATCTGGATTTGTGGAAGTGTTTGGGGCAGTATTGGTCAGAATCAGTCAGAACTCTTTTGTCCTATTCTCACCAGAAAATGCTGGTTGTGATAACTAAGGTTGGTAACTTAGATGACACCTCCTTTATCCTATTGACAAGCATTATGTGAAAGCCTTGATGGATCAAAGCCCTTATGGGTGACAGAGACTGAGGCCCATCTGGTGACAGTCATATGTTTATGATTGCAACTTGGGGTTCTAAAGCAGGGGTCTTCAAACTTCACAGCTTTAAGACTTGTGGACTTCAACTCCCAGAATTCCTCCTCCAGTCATGTTTGCCCAGGAATTCTGGGAATTGAAATCCACAAGTCTTAAACTTGCCAAGTTTGAAGACCTTTGTTCTAAAGAGTATGTATATATGAATGAAATGAAAGAAAAATAGTGTTTTGTCAGTAAGAAAGGGAGAAGGTTTATTAAGGTGGCATGTATGGAAGTGAAGATATAGTTTAATTATGAAATTAAAGGGTAAGAGCTATTTCAGTAAGGATGAGTTAATATTTAGATTGCATGGGTATATGTAAAACTATGCATTATGTTCCATTGATAGTAGTAATGAAGGCACCAGGAATGAGTTTACAGAAAAAAATATGTGACATTCTGAATGAATGCAAATCAGAAAAAAGTGTCATGAAAATATGTGAGAACAAAAATGAATACAAAAATTGAGCCATTTGAAAGCCCCAATATTGTCATTAGTCTTTGACAATTATTTGTATTGAAAAATGTTTGTTTCATACGTATGTATATATGTATATTGAATCTAGGTTTCTTTATACATATATGTTGTCCCAATTCTAACCTGAATTAAGGGATTACAGGGTCATAGAGAGGGACTTTAATGGTAAAATAATGCATATATAGAAGATGTCCTTGACGTATGCGCAAAATTGAGCCTAGCATTTATGATCATGATTCTTGATAAGTAAAACAGATCATTACATCACTGAGTTAATTTTATTGCCTTTTTTGCAATAGTTGTAAAATGAACCCATTGTTCACTAGAAGCAGTTTTTGCCAGAAACCTGTTTCTGGCAAAAATGTAAATCATGGTTTGTTGGAAGACTACCAATAAATCTAAAAACGTATCATTTTATTGTTTATGATAAAAAGTTTGAGGGATTCAGTGAAGGGAAGATGGGTGATGAAAGATTCTGATTGTGGGATATGCCATTTTTAGGTTAGTGTTGGTTGCTTTTAAGGAAAAATGGTCATAAAAAGGCAAAGAAAGAATAAATGGAGGAAGAAAATATATAAATCCTTTCTTTAACAAACCGTTAGAAAATAAATTAGTCATCCCACAGATAAATGGAAATTCAGTGTAAGAAAACAATATGGAAGCAATTTTGAATACAGTGAAAATAATTACATTGTAGTGTGTCACAGAAGCATGTAATTTTAATAGGAAAAAGGAGACTTGTTAGAAAGATGCTGTGGATACAGAAAAAATAATAGAAAAATGCTGCAAAAGTAGTGGAAGAAGAATTTATAGATTTGTATTGCAGTGTTAATAATATATTAAAGAATAGAATTGAAACAAATTCAATAAATTTTAATATCTGACATGATGAAAAGGAAAATGCAAAATATTGAAAAATGGTAAGGCTGTAGTCTTAGATGACATAATTGGAGAAGTGTTAAAAAAAACAGGTGTAGTTTACTGATCATTTGTATGATTTCCTTAAAGTGTGCTTGAAGACTGTCTCTGACAATTGGAAGAATTTATTGATTAAATTTATAGCTCCCATCTCGCCTTCAAAAGAAGCTCTGAGTGGAAGAATTTACCCTACTGCAATGGGAAGTACTAACAAAAGTGAATGCAAAAACTACAGGGAGATTTTCTTATGTATTTCTGAGAAGGTGCCTGACAGAATTCTAATTGAAAGATTCTTAAGGTGACAACAAGAAAAAATTCAGAAATGTGGATGCTGCTTTTCAACATGTCATTGAGAAGTACATGAACTCAACAGTATATTATATATGTGTTGATTTAAATAAAATAAGTTTGAATTATGGAATGTTCTAGACAAATATGGAGTTACGTGTTGGGTGTTAAATACAGTAAGTCTGGCATATGATGCATGGTTAAAAATAAATGGATTACATAGCAATGGTTCAACATTCAGCAGAGGTATGTGATAATCTTTTGGTTGTTTAATGTGCTTATCATTAAATCTGAGAAAAAAATGTGAATGCAGTGGTAGTTTTATGTGCAGCTGATGTGCTGTTGACTGAAAATCTGAATGATTTGCAGTATAAGTAGTCCTCAGCTTACATCTGTAAAGGAACCTGCCTAATATGGTTATAAAATGGGTCACATTACCAGACATGTTTTTACAATTGTTTTGCTGTGATCATTAAGCAAACCCATTGTTTGCTGTGGGATATTTTTGCCCCAAACCAGAAGTAAAAACCAATTTTCAGCAAAAATGTAAATCACGACCACCTGACCTACAATATTGATACTACAAGCAGCCATAATTGCTAGCGTTTTTTCCAGGCAACCAAAATGTAGTCACGTGCAAGGAGGTGACTGTCAGAGCCAAGTCATAAGTACCTTTGGGGAGTGGGGGGGTCTATTGTCACTCCAAGCAGTCACTAAACGACCAGTTAAAAATTAACCCCTGTGTATAAATATGACAATGAAAGTATAATGCAGCCAATATGTAAATATGGTTGTCAAAATTCATGCATCAAAGAGGAACCTTTGGTAAGGAAAATGGAGTGAACAGCTTCTACCATTTATCACTAAATGAAAGTTAGAATAAGAATTTATATATATGTAGTAGAATGTTTGCTAAAGTTGCAGAAATGGGTTGATAAATTTTAAGATGTGCTATCTGCTTATAGAAAATAGTATATGTTTTGTGAGGAATGTATATTTTGTGAGGAATGTATATTTGTCAAAATCAGAGAAAGTGGTTATGAATAAGAGCTTTTTGAGAAC